CCTCCCGATTTAATGGCGGAGCCAATAGGATCTCTAGCGCAGTCTGATGATGCGTCTGAAAAAGATCAAAGGTGCCGACACTGTTTGATCCTACTGTATGATCCTTATACTGTGGTTACAGCTATACTGATAGTAAAGCTTGATTTATAATGGCCGTAACCGTTAATTTATGACGGTGCCAGTAAAGTTCAATCATAGGATTTCAATGCTTTCGTTCATACTAACTTGCCGTATTAGTATGAACGAAAGCATTGAAATCCTATGGTTGAACTTTATCGGCACCGGCATAAGTTAACGGTTACGGTCATTATAAATCAGGCTTAATGCAGTAATTGTGGAACAGTTATCGCAGTGTACTGTGATCACGTTTACTGCACTGCCAGTAAAAACGGAACACACCCATTCTTACACTACCTGGGTACCTATTATGGAACAAAGTCGGAATGGATTCCGATCGGAATTATTCAATTATTCCCTAGATTTCTATTGTGTTTTCTGGGGAAAACGGAATAATTCCGATCGGAATCCATTCCGACTGTGTTCCACGATAGGTATCCTAAACTGGTACATACTGGTACATGCAATAAGTTGAAATGAAATAAATATACGTTTGTTTCGCTTTAACTTATTGCACTAGGCCTGTTCTTTTTAGCTGAACCAGAGAGAAATCTGAGAGAGGCCATGCCAGATGCACGAAGTAAAAGTAAGGAGACCGAACTCCAGCTGGCCGATATAGCCTAGAGAACCTCTAGTAGAGAGAATCGCCAACTTGGTCATGTGACTAGCTACACCGTGATTGGCTGGAGGCAATACGTATAGATTAAGTATTGCGACGCCAATGCATTGGTGTCAGAACGGACGATCAGCCGATGTGGTGACACATATGAGGTTAGTGATCGTTAATTACAATAGTACTTGTATTTTTTTTAACTGATTTTATATACTTACATTTGTTATATATATATTTGACAAAATATGTTAGGAGAAATTAACGTTCAGGATTCACCATGCCATCACGTTGCTCTGCGTACAAGTGTTGGAACAATAGCAATCAAGGCTACGTATTAGTTAGATACCCGTCTGATGAAATTTTAAAAAGAAAATGGATTGCTGCGGTAGGAAGAGGCAAAAATTGGTTACCTAA